TGACTCTCAGTGCGGGACACACGGCTATTCTGATACGTGTAATTACTAAACTACTTTGATAATTAAGTAATTACACATATGGAACCATATGAATTTTCTACTCTTCCGGATATCCAATACGAGATATTTTGAGGAGTCTGGTCATTGTTACTCTTAGATTATCTTGTATTTATGGAAGATAAATAAACAAATACGATCGCTCGCCACTAGATATCTTTAATCTTGCCAGATGAGAGAGTGTGACCTAGTTTTTAGCTAACGCTTCACTAGAAAACGATGAGACGAGACACCTTCCGCCTACGTACAAACCCGGTACTGACTCCAGCCATGTTCACATATTTTATTGATGGATCATGGAAAAAACAGGAGCCTACGAATGGGATTAGGTGGACTTTACAGTTAAAGAATGGAGAAATAGATCTTATAGGGTTAAGGGGCTTACGCCGGTGTCTGTCTTCTTTACACACAGAGCTCCATAGTCTGCTATGGGCGTTGGCAAGCTTAAGGAAGAAAAAGAGGTATTGTGCACTGTTCGTCACCGATTCACGTGAGCTAATTGTCATGGTGCTAGAGTCAGACAAGTGGCCGCGGTTCAAGTGAGAACTGGAAGATTTGAAAGAATTACAGGCTTACCTTATAGTATTGTCCAAGAGAGATGAATACGCGGGCAGATCTACTGGCCCGGAATGCCTGGCAAAGAAACTTAGGGTCGAAATGGTAGTCAATTTTTGGAATATTCGGAATAAAATGAACTAAAAGAAATGGAATAGAATTGAATGGAATAATGACACTTACATGAATAAGATGAATAGAATGAAAAATCGCAGACAAATATTTTAAAATAATAAAATGGAATGCAAAAATAAATAGTATAACTAAAACTTAATAATATTATATAAAAACTTTAAATGTATATAACACTAACTTAAAAGAAGAAAGAGAATGTCGTTCTTTAAAAAATAATATTATGAAAAAATCTAACAAAAACTTTAGATTTTAAAAGCATAAGAAAATATTTGTAGAAAATATGAAAGTTAATTTGATCATTTCCATATAATTCATGGGATTTAATGGGATAAATTTTACTTTTTATTCCATGTAAATGGTAACTTTTTTATGGGATGCACATGAATGGTCTATCCCACTTAATTTTATTCCAAAAATCATCAATCCAGTTGCAGTCTTAGTGTTTTCGCATATTAGCAATTCGGTCTTTCATTGTTCCTGGATACTAGGGTATATGGTTAAGTTATGATTAAAGTGCGTTCGTGTCAAAAAACAAAAACAAAAAAATAATCACACATATCAAAATAATCTTTATTATATGTTACTAGAATATGGATCGCACAGTGTGCGAGCTTTTTTTTTTACAGTTTTATCAAATTTATTTATAATATTTTAACTTAATTAAAATGCATATATAAAAACATATATATATATATATTAGATTTTTCGAAAAATGTAATATACTTTATTTATTTATAGTTATTGACAAAAATTTAATATATATATATATATTAGATATTTCATTCTATTTTAGTTTAAATAGTACCTTCATTACATAATATATATTTTCGTATTTATGTAATAATATATAGCTTTTATTTTCTTCCCTTCCATTTGTTTCATGTTTTTTGGTGTGAAAAGAAAACCTATTATTATTTCAGTTAATTATATTAATGTAAACGTTTTTTATAATTTCATAAGGAAAATGATTTTTCCAATTCCTCTAATAATTCAATATTTCCAAAGAGTATTTTCATTACATAATATATTTTTTGCATTTACGTCTATGTTGTAGTTCAAATAGTATTTTCATTACATAATATATACTTTCGCATTTACGTAATCATATATAGCTTTCAGTTTGTGAAAAATAAATCCATTATTATTTGGGGCAATTACAAAAATGTCATTTTTTGTATGCACATTTACAAGAATACCACTTAGGAGTGTTCATTTATAAAAATGCTACTAATTATAAATTTATAAAGCCTATATCTTAAAATTCTAAACCCTAAAAATGTTTTGACACCAAAAACCCCCTAAACACTCAAAACTAAACCCTAATAGAACATAATTGACCCAAACATAAATAATATAAAGAAAAAATAATTTTGAAAAAGTGGTATTTTTGTAAAGATTTCAAAAGTATGGCATTTTTGTAAAGTAGCACTTGAAAAATGGTATTTTTAAAAATTTCTCTTATTATTTCAGTTAATTATATTAACGTAAATATTTTTTATATAATTTCATTTAGAATAAGAAAAATAACCTTTTAAAAAATCCTCTAATAATTCAATATGTTCCATACAAATATAATTAATGTCTATCAATTTTTTACGAGAAATTTCAAAAATGTCATGTTTCAAGTGCTACTTTACAAAAATACCACACTTTTGAAATCTTTACAAAAATGCCACTTTTTCAAAATTACTTTTTATTTCTATTATTTATGTTTGTGTTAACTATGTTTTATTAGGGTTTAGTTACGAGGATTTAGGGGTTTAGGGCTCAAAACATTTTTTATTGTTTAGAATTTTAAGATATAAGATTTAAAAATCTAGAATT